TTTATTCAACCTATTCATATGAAGTATGATTTCAATCCAAAATCTTAAAGAAGAAATATATATTCCTTTATTCACCCTATTCACATGGAGTATGATTTCAACGCATCACCATCATGAACATTATGGATCTCAAAGTTGGAAAGAAACCTCCAAAGCTTTTTAGACCAGGTCAGGCCCCAGCCAGCAAGCGTTGAGCCGTCCCATCCAAACATTCTTTCTTCATCTTCTCAACAAAGGAAGGTGCCTCCTTAAAGCTTCTTTTTTTCTTCTTCTTCCTTTTTCCTTTATTTTTCTTTAAACTTTCCTTAAAGCTTCTCATTAAATACTTTAAGAGATGCTAAACTCCAAAATCTCTGACATAAACAAAATTATCAGTTATCTAATACAATTAAGGCTCCACCTCGGTTCCTCTTCAAAAGTTAGCTTGCTTTGCTCTAATAATTTACATTTTCCTCTGTCAATAATGGTTGATGATCCCTTAAAATCCAACTGAAAATGACATGAGCAAAAAGCCATTCAAACTCTGAATAATAATTCAGTTAGTGATGAGATAAATTTGTCATTGCAAATTATGATTTAGCAATCACAACAAAATGTAGCTTGATTTGATATAAATCATTAAACGTTAAAAAAATAATAATAATAAAAGAAAAGAAGACAGAAGGTTTTCAGGCGGCTGTACGTACCTTGCTTGAGAGTTGAGAAAGCTTCCAAGAACAATGTTGCTTTCCTTGTTTAATCATTCATTTCATTTCAACATTCTTTCTTTCTTTAAACTTTTGTTACCTTGACGCTTTAATTAGCTTTATATAACCTTCTTAGCTGTGTCGGTTAGTTTTTTAGATTCAAAAATATAAATTTATCTAAAATATATATAAGTTTGTATTATTTCAGATATCACATCATTAGATTAGACATATATATATATATGAAGGAATGGAATGTGTGAAAATATATAAATTAATAATATATAAAGGATCCATACACCTCTACCCCACTACATACATTATTCATATACATAATACCTTGCTAAATACCTAAGCAAGCAAGATCCTTCTTGCTTTCACCATTGTCAACTCTCTGATTAGCCTATCCCTTCATAGCAAGTTAGAATATACTCTAATTTTCACATTTAATTAAAAAAAAAATTGAAAGAAAGCGAAGCCAAAATCTATTTTAGCATCATCTCTAATGTAGAACTCTGGTGCATCATGTCTCGGTTAAACTGACTAGTTCTTCTGAGAATTCCTCCACCAACAATCCAAAGATGGCATACTCGACCTCTAATGCTATCTCGTTGACCTGCTCTTGATTTCTCTTCCATCCATCAACCTCTGTTCTGAAATCTTGTCCTACCATCATGTCTATGGTGTTTGATTCCACCTCCTTCCATGACTCCAACCTCTTATAGACTCTTTTAACTACTACTTCTCTGTCAACACCACAGTTCTGCCCTGTTTCTTCCTCTGCTATGAGATCTGAAACAAGCTTTTTCAAGCTATCCGGGATTTGTTTTACATTGTGGGAGGTCAATCTGAGTACTTGATGGACTAAATCATCAATGTTCATTTCATTGTCTGATGAAACTGAGCCATTCTCTAAGTAGTAGTCCTCTTCCTCCTTTTGGTCACAGTAACTGTTGGCATCATTATCATGGTCATCTTGCTCTGGCTCTAACATTCTTTTCTCAAGTTCAATTGGATCCAATTGAGCCAGTTTCTCAAACCTACGAAGCTTTTGCAGCAGCTGATGCTTTGCTCCTGATGATAGAACAAAGAAAATCACAGAGGAAAACTAAATCAGTACAGATTCGAACATCGATCTAAGCATATCAAATTATGCAACACTAATTAAGTACAATGTTTCCACATTAAACCTTTTCTCTTAAAAGACAAGACAAACAGATCTTTTCAACAAGATAACACAACTAGAGTACTAGCAAAAATTTAATACGGATCTCCTAACTTCGTAATGTGGGGACTCACGACGTTTTCGACAAGCTGGTTGCCTACTTCATCGAGAGATCAGATTACTCCAACGTGATGTACACACTACAACAACTACCTTAATTTCTATAGCATTGTCTCTTCTCTATGGATCCCACACAGATTGCATAATTCACTAACACAATCACAGATTACGACCTACCAACGCGGGATATTAGCAACTAAGGTTAGAATAATAACAGTAAAGCTTGCTCATCGACAAAGACCACACAACCTGTAAGGAAGAGGTACAAAAATTATAGCAGCTGTAGCGTTAGTGAAGGGTTACATACTCTGAACAATTGCGTAGCTGCCTTCCAAATCATAACCGTGATCATGGTCCCCATATTCATTATCATCCACATGTCCATCTTCATCGTCCTCAAATGGAGGGTCCAACACGGACACAGGACTGCACTGTTCCTTCTCTTCTTCTTCCTCTTCTTCTTTATCTTGCAATTTCTTTAAGCTCTCAACATCTTGATCCTGTAACAACAGAACATAACAACCCTCATTTCAGATAACATTATCATCCTAATTCCCTGATTAAATGATTAGGTTTGATGATTTAATAATTGCTTCATAATTGGTTAGGTTGTTGACTTTTATTACCAAATTTTGCAGAGAAACCGAAACTGAGTAAGAAATTTAGATACCGGAATTGCAGACAAGGGATCCAACAGAAGCCGATTTGTCCTCATTTGTGAAAAATAATTTCATGGACAAACTCTTACAATAAAAGAGGAATTGCATGGCAGGGGTATGGTCAAAACTCAAAAGTATTTAGCTACAAACAAACGAAGTCGATGCAAGTTCCAGATTTACATAAATAACCTCAGGTTAGCAGGAGATATTCCTCCTTGATGATCGCCGGTGGGGTAAGTAAGTCATTTTACGTCGACATTTTGGCCAAAATTTCATACTGGGTACCGTATTGCCGACAGCTCAAACACGTCAGACTCGGTTCGCCTGACGGTCTGAGTGACGGGTTTAGTCAGAGACAACAGAATGCGGAAGCTTTAATCAGAGAAGAGTTGAGTGCTATTTAATTAATTGATTAATTAATGGATTGGAAAAACGAACCTGTCTTTTGCGGTGACTAGGGGATGTTGCCGGCGAGGAAAACACCGGTGTCTGGTGTCCGGAAGAGGGGCTTCTTTGAAGGACAAAATGGAAAGGGCTATCGGAGAAGTAATTGCGGTTTTCTTCGAAATCATCAGATTCGCAACTACTGGAAGGGTCTAAATCCAAATCCAAGGATTTCTCTTCGTTGCTCTCCGACCATAAGGCACTGCTGCGCCTACTACCATTGCTGGAGGAAGAAAATCCTTTCTCATAAGAACTTATCTCTGGAGAAGCAGTTTTCACAGCAGAAGTCGGTCTTCCATTTTCTTGAAAAGGTTTTCTACGCTCCACAGATGAATCCCACTGCAAAATGTCTTTCACCGAGGCCTTAACCCCATCGCCGGAAATTTCCTTCTTACCGTTCCGATTCTTATTGGTTAGCCTGTTCAAGAAAAACCCAAATAAGCCATTGTTTTTGGTCTGGGGTTTTGTTTTTGAAGACTGTTTCTGAATCCTAAGCGCGGCCTCAAGAAGCAGAGCAGCGGTTCTCGCAGGAATGTTAAGAAAGATGGCATTTGGACTCCTACAAGGACTCTTTGCCGGAGAAGAGAACTCAAACAGTGGAGACTTTCTCGGGTCCGGAGATTCATGGAAGGAGAAAAAGCAAGCATTTTTACAGAAATTTGAAGGAAAATTGGAGGTCTGCGAAATGGGTTTTCGCTTCTTGACCTGAATATGGGTTTTGAGGAGTGGTCTCTTGAATTGGCTACGCCTGTCAGCAATGTAGTTCTTGAGGACGAAAGGTTCCTGATCCTCTTGCAACAACTCGTGTAAATGCTTTTGAGCCATCTTTAAAAAGGACTATAACACAAAAGAAGAAACTACAAAAAAACAGAGGAGACGCAGAGAAGCACTGAATTTCAGCACACCATGAAAGAGTTGAAGAGGTTTCAACTTTAGACTGAAAATGCAGAGCAAAAGGGAAGATTTGAAGAGGAGCAAAACCAGTTAAATAAAAATAGGAAAGAGCAAAGAGGGTGAGATAGGGAGGGGAAGGAATGAGGAGACTTCCATATTCAAATCTGAAAATGGGTTACAGATTCGAGGCGGAATGGTGGTAAAGAAACAAAATACTCTTAAAATAATGGGAGGTTAAAATTGGGGCAAGTACTTCTACTCGGAGTTGGGAGTGGAAGAAGAGGATTTGATGCCTTCCTCTGTTCCGGTCCAGTCTCGATCTCCGCTTGGTTTTAGTTTAGGAATTAGGAATATTATAATTAAATATTAAAATAATGATAACTATTAAAATTTTAAAAATAATGATGTAATATAAATTATATTATTTAAAATATTAAATTTTGTCAACGACATAAATAGTTTAGTGGTCTTTTTTTTTTTACTGAAATAAAAGGTTTCGAATTTGAATTGTATGACATGCGGGTAAAATAAGATTAGAGATAGAAATAGTTGCTTCTCCTTATGCAACTAGGATAAAATATATATGAAGTTTTGTTTTATTTAATAATTATTTTTTATTTTCTTAATTCATAATATTATATATATTTATTTAATAATATAGTTTATACTACATTATCAATCTTAATTTCATCCTATTCCTTCTTCCCTTATCATTACTCTAAATATTGATAGAGCTTGCCTTGGACTACATTGCAGTGTAAATCTATGTTTGTCTTTTGCTTCTTTCTCAGTGACAAAAATGGTAGTCGGATTAAAGCGATAGGATTGCAGCAACGCCCCCAAAAGAGTGTGGCCGCCGCTCTGTTAAGACTATTATTTTGCTTGGTTTAATTTGTTCCCAACAACTTAAAATTACTTTATGTAATCAATTAACAAAAGTTTAATTGGTTCCCAAACAA